TGCCATGGTAACAGGAAATTAAAGTTTGAGCATGCTGTTATAGAGGCTATGGTCTAGTCAACATTTGTGCCAAGTTTCATCAGTATTGAAGCATTTTTCATAGTTTCATAGGAGTTTGAACTTGTAACAGGAGGCTTTTCAATGAAAATGGCCATTTTTCACAATATGCTCATGCGGTAAAAGGTTAAGAACAGGGAAGGATAATATTAATAAGAATAATACAATGTTCAGCTTAACGTAGGACAACAGATTCAACTATTCTCAGTGCTTGATAGTAAAATCAGAGCCTTAAGATAATTAAGGCATTCACAAAGAGAAAGATTTCATTCAAACTACATGACATAGTTCTACAATTATAGTCACTAAAACATGTGGAGTGGGGCCAGTTTAGACCTCAGGGCTTTTATTTGAACAAACATGGAAGACACCCATTTGAAGATGTTTCATTAAGTTAAGTTTTTACTACACACATATAATGAAAAACAATGATGTCCCCCCTCCCCAGAGCTTTTATTTAAACAAACTTGGTAGACAACCATTAGAATATGTTTCATGCTATTAAATATCTTAGCTCTAGCTCTTTGAGTTCTTTAAAAGAAGATATTTTAAGTTTATACTATATATATAGGGAAAATCAATGACCCCCTGGGGGCCAATTTTGACCCCCGGGCTTTTATTTGTTCAAACTTTGTAGACACTCACTAGAAGATGTTTCATGAAAAATATCTTAGCTCTAGCTCTTTGGGTTCTTTAAAAGAAGATTTTTAAGTTTTTACTATATGCATATATATGGCAGGGCCAATTTTGACCCCAGGGCTTTTATTAGAAAAAACTTGGTAGACACTCATTAGAACATGTTTCATGCTAAATTTCTTAGCTCTAGCTCTTTTGGTTCTTTAAAAGAAGATTTTTTAAGTTTTTTTCTTTCGGGGTCATGGCAACCAGAGTTCTGCATGGAATTAAATTCTTTGAACAATTTTTAAAGGTTACCACCAAAGGAACATTCCTGTGAAGTTTGGATGAAATTGGCTTAGTGGTTTATGAGGAGATGTCATTTAAAGTAAAAGTTTACGGACGGACGCCAGACAAAAAGCGATCACAAAAGCTCACCCTGTCACTTTGTGACAGGTGAGCTCAAAACAACAAAAAATGTCCTTTGTATACAATATTACAATTAAAACCCATGCAGAATTATGGATTTTGGACAATGACTGGCCTTCAATTATAACCTCAAAGAGTTAGACAAATGTGAAGTTTTAGGCATTTATCTTATGTGGTTAACAAGGTAAAAAATTTTGTACAAAAAAAAGTGACAAGAAAAAAAAGGTTTTCCCAAACCCAAAACGGGTGGGGTATGATAGCCCTCAAAATTTAAAACTGAAGTTTTTAAAGAAACAAAAAAAGCAAAATCATTAACCTCCTGAACAAATCTTAAGACTGTGAAATAAAAGAAATATATATGTTATTTTTATATTTCATTTTCTAAAAAAAAAACAAATCCCTTTCTTCCCCAGATTTAAAATTGGGAAAGAAATTTCCAACACTTCAATTGTCTGCATGTTTAATCCCACAATGTTTTACAAAAAGTATTTTTTTTAAAAAATTTTTTTTTTTTTTATTTCTTTACTTACATTTCCAATTTACAATTTTAATGCACAAATTCCTTTTGTAGGGGAAAAACCCAGGCGGTACTTTTAAGATTTTTTTTTGTTAAAAATATACATAAAAAATTTAATAATTTTTTAAAACTATTCATGAAACTTATTCATATTTAAATCTCCAATTATCAGTTAAATCTTTTTTATTTTTGAATTGTACCATATTTAAAAGTACCCCATTTCGGGAAATATTTATTTTTAACAATTTAACTGATAAACTTTTTTACCATACTTAAGTACACAGCAGTTTATTTAGCTTAACAATTAACTGAATGTGTTGTATTGTTAAACTTATACCATACTAAAGAACACAGTTTATTTAGCTTAACAATTAACGGATAAACTTGTACCATACTAAAGTCACAGTTTATTTAGCTTAACAATTTACTGAAAAACTTGTACCATGCTAAAATACACAGTCAGTATCTTTATCTGAACAATTAACAAAAACAAAACAAAAGAAATATAAAAATAGAATCTGAATTATGTAATAGTATTGCTTTGTAAAAGACAGTCAAGGAAATGTAGATAAATCAAATGAAATAACCAAATACTTGTATACATATTTATCTTCCAATGAAATTATCACTTATTATTGTACATAGTTATCTTCAAATGGAATTATCACTTGTTTGCGTCCGAATTTATCTTCGAATAAAATTATCACTTCTAAGTGTCCATATTTATCTTCAAATGAAACTATCACTTGTTTGTGTCCAAATTTATCTTCGAAAGAAATTATCACTTATTAGTGTACATTTTTATCTTTGAATGAAATTATCACTTATTAGTGTACGTACTTAAGTTAAACTCAATATTATCCTGAAATACTGTATCAGACATTGAAGGAATCCAAAACAATGCATCCATTAACAGTAAAACCAGTCACCTAAACCTGTGGTGGTACAGTGGTTTGCAGGAGAAATGACCTTTACCCTACTTTTATCTTTCTCTTTGACTGCTCTGTTTTGGTGCCAGAACAACTGGCTAAATTTCAAACTTTCAGAGCATATAATTTTACTGTCTGACTTTTTGCTGTAGGATGAGATCTAAACCTGTCAGGATGAGATCTATACCTGTTGGCACTAACCTATTTTCAGCAAGTGTACCAGCCACATCAACAGGTGAGCAAGGCAAGTAGACATATATGAATCATTGTGAACATATAAAACATATGCCTTGCCTAGAATTAAACAATACCTAAACATCTTCTTTCAGAATTAGCTGGGCAGACTTTTTTGTTTATATGGATAAAATTGAAAAAACAGAATAATTAAAAAGAGTGTCAAATATAATCTTTTATAAAGCCTGGTTTGTCCCCAGATAATGTCAATATTTTCTTTATAATAACGTTAAGATCAATCTTTTTCCTGTATTCTCCTTTCATATCTGTTTTCAGTTCTCACCCCCCCCCCACCCCTGTAACAATTGGCCTTTGCAATCCTTTTGATTGCCATGTTACTCAGTAATATATAATACATCATTACTGCTCTTCTAAACAGATAGATATTTACAAAATTGGCAACTCCCTTCTATATACAAAAATAATTGTTCAACACATTTCATGGAAAGAAACCACACTCTGCTTACACTTGTTTAAATATTAACAGCAACAATGATATAATCAACACTATTGTTTAACAAAGAGCACAATAATTTAAAGATCATAATTTACATAACATATATCATAATACTGCACGTTTGTAACATCAATTTTCATTGGATATTTGTGATGTTTAAATCTTCTATTTACAAAGCTGCAGCATGTGTAGGAATTAAGATTATTTATTCTCTTTTTTTATGAAGCAAAGGAAGCTTATGTGCAGTATTATAAAGTTATAATTTTTTACAAAAAAAGAAGCTATTAGCAGGTTATATGGTTAGAACAATCAGCTGTGTGCTATATAACACTGGCCTATCAGCTGTTTATATTTGACCATATAACCTGCACAAAAATATCTTGTATAACTTTAAGTGTAGTACATGTGATATAAAACAGGAAAAAATATGACACAAAATAGACTCCTTAACTACTGGTAACATTCTGTACATTAATACATTGTCAATTAAAATGCAAATGTGGACTACTTAATTTTTTTTCCACCCTGCAAATATGATTTGTGGTCAGAATGAAAAATACAGGTTCTGTCCAGTCATCAACAGCATGGTAAAATTTTATTTCATTTTGGCCTAGAGCTTATAGATATACATAGAAGCAGTGAGATATATCTAATATTTCTCGTCTCATTTTTTTCTGAAACTATTTCAAATGTATAACAACAGAATATTTCATTAAAAAAATATCTCCAAATATGTTACATGATCTCCCCTATAATCTCAGTTCAACATATCATTTCATAGACAGTACAAAAATTTATAGAAAAAATGTTATATAACTTGCATTATCCAATATAACAATAGAAAATTTACAATGGCCTGCCATTTAAAAATAAGGGAGAACTGTTACATCATTAATAAATAACATGTACACTTACAGTACAGGGCTGTGTTTCAAAGAAAGTCCTAAGTGTATCCCAAGTCTTAGGACATAAAACCAACTTCAGGACCAACTTGAGACCCTTTCCCTCAACATTTTTATCCTCATATTAGTACCATAGACTATAAGAAAAAAAATGAGAAAAGTTAAGAAATACAAGACAGGCCCTTTTATATGCAATGTATGACCCCATCAGCATTGCTTTTCAGAAATTAAAAGACACATACCATAAAGGTCATAAATAAGGATATTTTCTTTGAAATGTTAAATTGTTTCCGTTTATACTTAGGACAGACTTCAGACTTACAACTTTCTATGAAACACAATCCAGATAATTAAAGTTGGAAATCAGATCTTTTGACATTAATACTTGAAAATGGACTGAGTATCTGACATACAACATACAGTAAACTTCACTTGCAATGATATTCAGGGGACAGATATAACAATATTACTACATCAGAAATTTGTAACAACCAAATGACAAATTCTGAGTACCGAAGAAGAAAGTCATTTTGAAGTCTCTGTTACTGGAATGTCATATTTTTTGTAAGCTGGGCTTGAACAAGATGGTCCAGAATAAGACTAAGCTTATCATACTTTTTTGCTTACTTGCACAGTTGTTGGCAATATCCTATATTTACCTGTGTACGAAAATCACTAAATGAATTGAATTTATTACCACTAAATTATTTTTTGTTTTCAAATCAAATTTTTTTTTTCTATATGTTCACTGGAAACTGACTAACAGTGTATGTTCACCTACAACTTATCTAGTGATTACAATAAGAAGGGAAAATATATATATTTTTTTAATAAAAACAAAATTATGCCTTCATTTCTGAGTCTTATTTATCAGTATTGGCTACAACACATTACAAAAACTGTTAATCTCAGCAAGAGTATCTCTTTAATATATGTGTAGGAATTGATAATCTTGACATATCAATGCAATATTGACATAGATGGAGCTTCACAACAGAAGCTAGCAACGATCATTGCAGACACATCAAAATAACTTTATCATCAATACAAGTGAAATTTACTATATAACCATTTAAGAAAAATCCTTCAAAAGTTTATAATCTTGTTCACTTTCCTGTACAAATTTTCTATCTTTAAGAAAATACACTAACAAGTGCACAACATCAAAGAAACAGACAATAACTATAAAAAACTAGCTTGTCCAGTAGTTAATTTGAATGTAATCTAGATAAAGTTAATTCAAGATAAAGTTCAGCTGATTATAATCTTAAATTTTTCAGCAGTTTATAAAGTAGAAACAAACACAGTGAGGTGATTATGTAATAAATGTTTATCTGCTAGTGTGTGTGACCAGACTCAATACATGTACTATTGTAGGCTTTTGTAACTATATTGCTTTATGAAATCACATAAACTTAAAATAGACTGATCTAAATTCAAAGCCAGGCAATTCCATTACACAAATAATTAGACAAGTTAAGTGTTTTAATAATCATCTTGAAATTATTAGAAAGTTGAAAACTGGCACAGTTCCACAATACTTCAGAGATCAGGATCAGATTTTTGGACCTACAAATTGACAGATAACACTTCTTATACAAGATTGTCAAAATATATAAAATATACTTCAATTTGATAAATATCATTGAATTATGAAAATTGAGCCGCGTCATGACAAAACCTACATAGTGCGTTTGCGACCAGTAATGGATCCAAACCAGCCTGTGCATCCGCGCAGTCTGATCAGGATCCATGCTGTTCACTTACCAACTCTATTACAAATTGAGAAACTGATAGCGAACAGCATGGATCCTGATCAGACTGCGCAGATGGGCAGGCTGGTCTGGATCTATGCTAGTCGCAAACGCACTATGTTGGTTTTGTCGTGACGCAGCTCAAATAACTTGACAAGTTTAATAATAGATTTCTGAAATATTACAGTAAATTATTCTTGATATTTTTACTTCTTTCACAGTGGAATGATGTAATGTAATTTCATCCTACTACAATTATATTTTGATACAGGGTTTAGTATATAACTATATGGAAATTACAAAAAAAAATATGTTCCATCTTTTGTGAAAATGATCTTAAAAGTGCATTATTTCATGATATTGAGGGTGAAAAAATAACTTGTAAACAAATTATGCCTCAACATAAACAAATGTCCTGCTTCGACCATGCCTTCATGTAATGTCATAAATAACAGTAAAATTATATTACATCAATTAAAAAAGAACAAACAAAAATCAACAAAAAAACCAGCATGATACAAATACAGAGTTTGTTTTACTTATTGGTTCAAATTATACCTTAAATGTGAACACCAATTATAACAACTTCACAAGTGGTTACACCATTTATAATACAGTATTACATCTGGTGTTCACTATGTGAGATATATCTGTATCTTACAATAAAATTACAAGTTTATAAGTGACAGTTATAAGTAGCACTAGCTCACTACAACAAGATGTAACAAGACCAGCTATATCTGTACAAAATTTCTATGCTTAAGTGTCAATTTAATTTTACCTGAACACTCACTATGTACTTTTGGATGGGCATAATGTCACTTTAATCAAAATAAATGTTTTATAACAGTAACTTAGCTTCCTTTAAAGGCACATTCAGCCTAAAAATGATGATTCTTTCTACAGAAGCTGCTAACACATGAGTTATAATGTTGTAATAATGGATTAAGAACATGTGACTGTCAGATGCTTGTTGCCTGAAGAAATTAGCACTGAATGTAAAATAATAATTATTATGTGATAAAGATAGCAAAATGTAAAGAAAAAGGTATATTGACTTCTATACAAAATACATCATCACTGAACTTATTACCAATACAAAAAAGAGGCAAAAGAAATGGCTCAGTAATATGAACAATGAGTAAAATTTCGGAAACCATAACAGTACATAAAAATAATAACTTTTTAAAATATATAAAAAATACTAACATTTTTAGGCTTAATGGGCCTTTAACAAAGCTAGGAAGATTCATACCCATATTAAGAAGAGAAACATTGACATCATACCAGTCACATTAACATAATGAGACACGTATACCTTGCTCTCCATATAGCTGCTATCAACAAAACTATATAATACTAGGGGCACTACATGGAGCCTTCCCTTAACCTGATGGAATGGTAACTGATTAGTCTTTGCCACCCAGTTTAAAGCAAGACAAGTTTGCACATCTATACAGTCTGACCAGGCTCTACTCTGTTGGCTGAATAACTTTTATCTTTCATTAGAATTTTTAATATTCCTAAAACTGATAATGGACAGTTCCAAAAATGGAAGCTGGACAAGTCCATTTTAGAAATACAGCAGAGTAAGGGTTAAACCCAAAAAGTTCCTACATGACCCTAAACAGTATCAGTATCAAATTAAAATCCAACAAAACAAAACAAACAAAAATGTAGTCCATTAAAATTATAACAGAACAATTTTTTCCCCATAATTTTTACTCCTATAAATATTTTTAATAGAAATTATTAACAACTGCACACAAGATATACCTTATCTGCTAACAAAACATATATACACCCCAAATTATTCTTTAGTTTAAATTTTAAAAATAAACAAAATAATTTCCATTTATCAAGATCATTTGTTGGTATCCTAATACAGTTTTTTAGGAAAAAAATTCAGAACATAAAATTGGACATAATTATCATACAATTATTTCTAAAATAAGATGACAATTAGCTAGAAAACTGATGAAAACTACTTCTTTACCTTGAAGAGAGGATGACAAAAATAATGTAAGTAAAAGTATTCTATGCAGCCATGGCAAGCATGTATTAATTGTTTGTATTCATCATTGCACCATGTATACGAGAAGTCCAGCACAGTTCAAGCCAATGATATCAGCACTAAATAAAAATGAACACTGCTAGCAACGTACAAGAAAAAGATTGACTCGAGTCACATCAATATTATATGGCCACCTAAAAATCAGAGATTTACTGGGTGGGTACATTTGAACAAAATTTTCTGTTCTGTTTTGTTTGGTTCTGTTGATCATTTCTTGTGTTTACTTGAATGGTGTCCACCATGGCTGGCATGGTTATTGTGACCACTTTGACCTGGTGTCTCTTTTACTGTCCCAATATTTTGATATATTTGTCCTGCATCTTGTGGAAGCCTGAAAAAAAAAATCATTTGATTAGAAGTGATGATTTGTTCAGTAGAAATAAGAGGGCATTTACCAGACCTACACTGTTATCTAGAATTAATATTGTATGGAATTATTATTGTTCATGTGTTACTTGAACATCTTTTACATATTAAAATGACAATTAAAATACACAACAGGTGTTTTATGATTCCTTAGTTTGAAAATATTGGAGATTTTTTTTACTCTATTTTTAGCATTAACCTAAATAAGGACCAAGTAATCATCTTTCAACAATCTAGAATATGGTATAACTAAAGACACTTCACAGCAAGTTTAGTTCAGTAAAGACCGATTCACTTCTTCAGAAGAAGAACTATGGATAACGACTGGTCAGCAGTCTATGCATAATGAGGGTGCAACCCCCCTCTCAGGCACTGAGAGTTCGGAACCTTGACATGTCACCAGTCATGTTCTTAAATAGTATTTATTATCTAAAGTGGTGACCTTATGGATTTTAATTTCATAATTTACAGTGTGTTTCCAAACAATGCTGTATTTTATAACATGCTATCAGTAGTTTATAGAAATATATCAGTGAAGTAAAAAACTGATAATTCACTGTATAAATCAGTGAAATTATCAATTTGATAATTTTCACTGTTTTGAATTTAAGCCCGTTACATTATTTCAGTGAAATACCAGCATGAACTGTACTGGAAACTTACTGATGTAACGTCATATATGATGTCACATTGTATTATTATTTGGCGCGCTTTTCATTAAGTATTAGGATTATACGTCTTTTTCAACGTTTCTTTGCATTATGATAAAAAGAAAATTTGTTTAGTTTAGAGTAAGATCGAAATATATTTCACCTCATGAACACCAAAAGTTCATATTTCACTTGTGGCTGCGCCACTCATGAAATATACCTTTTGGTGCTCACTCGGTGAAATATATTCCAATCTTACACTGAACTAAACAAATATCCTCTATATATTTCTTCGTTAAATGCTTAAAGTGCTGAGCTTGTCAGCAAGGTAAAAAAGGAAAAACAATGCTTACTTGAGCAGATTTTAATGCTTAAAGTGCTGAACTAGTCAGCAGGGTAAAAAAGGAAGAACAATGCTTACTTCGGCAGATCTTTAGCAGCTCTTTTTGTTGTGTGTGGTGGTTCTGCAATCTGGGGTTGATGAACTGGAGGTGGAAAGCCACGTGTTAGGGAGTTTCTATTGTCTATACTGTGTGCGTATCGTATATTTGTATACTCCCTACCTGCTACTTGACTTTGCTGAAAAACAAATTTGATCAATAGTGATACATGTATGTTAGAAGAATGCTTAAAATAAATATTATACAAAGTTTATAATTCAATACTAAACAAAACAGCACTAAAATTTTAATCATGACAAGAGCCATGTCAACATGGCCATCCCCCGCCGAATGTGTTTGCTCATTGGAAGAATGTATATGTAGAAAGCAGAATAATTCCATTTTAAGAGGTCTTTTGGTAATGAAAACTGATGGCTATAGTAAATACAGATTTGAAACCTATGTGAATACTGATGGCTGAAAATAACAAAGGGCAATAACTGAAAAATAATGCAGGGTAGAGTTATCATTCTTGTGCACTGCACTCCTCCTCAATGAGATCAATCTACCTATGAAGTTTCAAGTTGATACCTCAAATACTTTTTGAGATAAGCTCTGGACAAAATAGCATGAAAAAGAACAAAGGGCAATAACTCAAAAATTGTATAGGGAAGAGTTATCATTCTTGCGCACAACATTCCTCCTCAATAAGATCTATCCACCTATGACATTTCATGTTGATATCTCAAACACTTTTTGAGTTATGCTTCACTCAGGTGAAAAATTAAGTAAGAAAAATAACAAAGGACAATAACTCAAAAATTATGAAAGGTAGAGTTATCATTTTTGTGCACTGCACACCTCCTGAGTGAGATCTATGCACCTATGAAGTTTCATGTTGAAATCTCATATGCTTTTGGAGTTATGCTCTGGACAAAAATCAATTTTGGAAAATAACAAAGGGCAATAACTCAAAAATTATGCAGGGTAGAGTTATCATTCTTGTGCACTGCACTCCTCCTCAATGAGGTCTATCCACCTATGAAGTTTCAAGTTGATTAAATGATAACTCAAATACTTTTAGAGATATGCTCCGGACAAAAATGTCGGACGGAAGGATGGACGGAAAGTCGGACGGATAGACAGAGACTATTTCTATATCCCCCGCCGCCTTTTCGGCGGATAAAAAGACATAAAGGACAGAAATCTAGTGTTTATGAAATAAACATACATTTCTAGGTTAATTAAAATCTTGGGTTTGGTAAATATCTTCAACAACTGTACAAAGTTTTTCTTAAAAAAAAAATAAATGAATTTTAGTTACTTTTCAAGTCTGTAAAATCTTGTAAGTCATCTAGTTCTTTCATATGACACAAAATTTCAAGCATTATACAATATGTATACAACAAACGATTTTCTGATAATATTTCAAGTAATAATTACTGTACCTGTTCAGCTTCTATCCTTCTTTTCTCTGTTTCTATATACTGTTGTACAGCGAAGTAGACAAACTTGTACTGTGCCTCGGTCTGAACTAAACCTGACCTTTGTGACCTCACCATCTGTATGGTCTTCTGTATATCTATCTCGCAGTCCATACCTAACGAAATAAATATATCATGCAATATGACTTACAGTTATGTCAAATCTAAGTTTTTATACATTAAATCAGTTGTTAAAGGAACTCCACAGAGACTCAAAAGTCTGAAATTAGAAAATTTGATTTTTTTACATAGATCAACAGGGACACGTAAGACAGTAAGATATGCAAAAGATAATTAATAATTTACTCAGAAAAATATAAAAAATTGTATTTTTTAACTTTTCTTGGTCTGATTTGAGTGAAAAGCCTTGTAACGCATTGTAATGCTTTTCAATTTAGGGTAATTTTTCATGATAAGAATTATTACTCTGGAAAAACAAAGTGATCAAATGATCTAAAAAAAATTACGCAAGTTTACTTATGAAGACCTTCTTTGAATGGAATATTAATCTCCAAAAAAATATTTCCTATTCCGTCAGGACAAAAAACCTCAATGGAGCCCTTTAATGTCTAATTTAATCATTGTTGGGAATTATGAAGTTTTAATTTGAAATCAGCTAATTGGTTTAGGAGTAGTTATTGTTTTACATGTTTTTATGCCATTTTTTGAAGGACCTATGGCACAAGATAAGCACAGAGTGATCACAAAAGTTCACCCTTGAGTATATCCCTTGTGATTAATATGCTACACCGGATCACAGAAGTTTTCAAACAAAACTAATTTGTAAAGTTTATTTTTAAATACAACTACGGCAATTTGAACGATTACAATTAAGAGCATTTTATCACACATTTGAACAAATACAAAGGCTGTTCGAACACACAGCTGTCACACAATCCAAGGACTTTGACTTATTTATGGTAAATTGTACTCGATTTATTCTAACGGACCACGAGTCAACTTTGACACTTCGAAAACATCGACACAGAAAATATTGACTCATATATAGGATTTTATAAAGAATATATAGGGGAAAAATTCAGGACTTTCATCGGAACATCAAGATAATCGACTAACCAATTTTTGTCTTATGGAAGTACTAATGTATTTATTTATGAATTACTATCATTCACATATTTATCTCCAGTCTACTCAGTTTTATGTAAAAAACTTGCCTTGTTGTATGTTTGGAAAGGTCTATAGTAAATAAATGATAAGGATTAGGACAGCAACGCTCGAACTATTCTTCGTGCTTGATAGTAAAAAAAATGCCTTAGTTACCTCCTCCTGTTTATCTTAAAATGATGATCACAAAAGTTCACCCTTGAGTATATCCCTTGTGATTAATATGCTACACCGGATCACAGAAGTTTTCAAACAAAACTAATTTGTAAAGTTTACTTTTAAATACAACTACGGCAATTTGAAAGATTACAATAAAGAGCATAATATCACGTTCGAACAAATACAAAGGCTGTTCGAACACACAGCTGTCACACAATCCAAGGACTTTGACTTATTTATGGTAAATTGTACTCGATTTATTCTAACGGACCACGAGTCAACTTTGACACTTCGAAAACATCGACACAGAAAATATTGACTCATATATAGGATTTTATAAAGAATATATAGGGGAAAAATTCAGGACTTTCATCGGAACATCAAGATAATCGACTAACCAATTTTTGTCTTATGGAAGTACTAATGTATTTATTTATGAATTACTATCATTCACATATTTATCTCCAGTCTACTCAGTTTTATGTAATGAACTTGCCCTGTTGTATGTTTGGAAAGGTCTATAGTAAATAAATGTAAGGGATTTTAATCTTAAAATGATAAAAATTGAAACGGTAATTGTACTGTATTTAATCTAACTTTACCACCTAACATTATGCTGGTAACATAGATATCTTACATGTTACCTCAAGCATACAAACAAAAAACATCATATTATATTATATATACCACATTTAGGTATACCATATAAAGGTACATGAATACCATAATTATAAAAGTACACCATGTAAATAGATTACTCTACATACCATAAGTCTTGACCTGATTTAGAATCATATCTATCACAATAAATGTCCCTGTTCTTCCTATACCAGCACTAGTCACAAAAGAAAAAAATAATACATTTTTAAAACTTTTTCTGATGTACATGTCATTCAGTTATTTTAAAAAACAAAACCTTTCCTTTTAATCCATAATAAAATACTAGAGATGGCAACGAGTAACCGGCTAACCAAGTACTCAATGGAAGGTACAAATATCAGTTAACAAAATTGATATGCAATTACTGGGAAAAATATATAATTTCTTTTTTTTTTCTTCAATTTAGAAAGATTACTGTATCCAATTCGTTCAGAAATTCCCAGATGTACATGTATCATCATAAACACCTGTTTAATGCAATCAAATCATCCTTGCAGAGGTGCGTAAAAGATATTGTAAAGTTAACATTTTGACACGTGCATGGGATGAACCCATGTGTTGCTTACGTCACTCGAGTGACTCGATCTCTTATGATATTTAATTACCTTCAATTGTGCATTAATTAAAACGTTGTAAAATATAGTGTTGTTGATTTAATCTTAATTAATTTGTTTATTCTAAGTTACCTCCCTTGCATTCCTATTCATAGTTATTAATTCTATAAATTTAAATAGAAATCAAAAGTAGCATGCAGACGGTGTTGCTATTGTGTGATAATACTTGAAAATCATTGGAAATCATCCGAGTAACTGAGTACTTGATCGGAAAAATGACAGAGTATTAAAACCAAGTATTGGTTTTGCTATTCATTGCCATCCCTACAAAACATGTTTTGTTAGTAAAATTTTCATTCAACTTTAATGTAATACACTTATAAAATTTTAAGAAACATCACTTACTAAAAATATGTTACAGAAATAATAAAAACAAGAGGGCCATGATGGCCCTGAGTCGCTCACAGAAACAACTGCTTTTCAGAGTTGGAAATTATCCATTGTCAATATTTTCTTTAATTTGAGCATAGAAAATGTTTAAACAATAATTTGAAGAAATGCCATGACCTGGGGCATTTAAGCTTTAGCTTAAACAGTGCCAATCAAATTAATATGAGCAAACTTGATAAAAGACAACCTAATAATGCTACAAAGTTTGGTGATCATCTATCAATTATTTCAGTAGGAAATGTTCAAAGGTTTTCCTATTTTTGGCTTAAGTGGCCGCTAAAAGGGGCCAATCAAATTAATATGAGCAAACTTGATAAAAGCGTACCTAAGAATGCTACAGACAAAGTTTGGTGATCATCCATCAATTAGTTCTGTAGAAATAGACGTTTAAAGGTATTTCTATATTTAGCTTTAGTGGCAAATCAAATTAATATGATTAAAATTGATAACAGACTACCCAAGAATGCTACAGACAAAATTTGGTGATCATTCATCAATTAGTTCTATAGAAGAGGATGTTTAAAGGTTTTTCTATTTTTAGCTCTAGAGACCCCTAAACGGGGCCAATCATGATCAAACTTGATAAGATAAAAGACTACCCAAGAATGCTACAGACAAAGTTTGGTGATCATCAATCAATTAGTTCTGTAGAAATAGACGTTTAAGGGTTTTCTATTTTTAGCCCTTGAGGCCCCTAAAAGGTGCCAATCAGATTAATATGAGCAAATTTGATAAAACACTACCCAAGAATGCTAAAGACAAAGTTTGGTGATCATCCATCAATGAGTGCTCTAGATATAGATGTTTAAAGGTATTTCTAATTTTAGCTTTAACAGCCCCTAAAAGGGGCCAATCAAATAAATAAGAACAACTTGATAAAAGTCTACCCTAGAATGATAGATACAAAGTTTGGTGATCATCCATCCTTTAGTTCTTTAGAAGAAGATGTCTAAAGGTTTTTCTATTTTAAGACCTAGAGACCTCTTAAAGGGGCCAATCAAATTAATATGAGCAAACTTGATAAAAGACTACCAAAGAATGCTACAGACAAAGTTTGGTGATCATCCATCAATTAGTTCTGTAGTAGGAAATGTTTAAAGGTTTTTCTATTTTTAGCTCTGTTGAACCCTAGAAGGGGCCAATTGAAATGACATGAACAAATTCAAGTGTGACTGTCACAAGGATGCTACAGACCAAAATTTGAAGTAAATCTGCCCAGCGGTTTCAGAGAAGAAGACAATTGTTGACGCATGACGATGGACGCCGGAAATATCCCCCTTTGATACTAATAGCTCATCCTGAGCCTTCGGCTCTGATGAGCTAAAAACAACACCAAAATATATTCTTGTTACAAATGTAAATCCTCGATGTTTGCTAATGATAATGATGCACATTTATCCCAATGTAACAGATCAAATGTTATACCTCTAAGTCACCTTATGACATACTGTTTTGGTGTCATGTAAAAGCCTACCAAATAATACAAGTGTATCAAATAGTTTTTATACTAACCTGCAGTGAACAACCACGGGACCCGCCCCTGAGATGCTCTCCTGCTTGCTATTGACAACATTCAGAAAATCTAACACACTTCCAGCTTCACTGGGTACACCATAATCTGGCCACGTCATAAAATGATACTGATAAACTTTACGTGTGGGTTCCACCTGTGGTATAAGGTATACAATAGATCTCTCAGAATTTGTTATGAGTATAGAATTAGATAAGATATATCATTATATCATCTATAAATAACTTTGAAATGCCTTTCTCTGATTGGTTTATACATATATTTTTTTTTAATAATGACAGGTCCATATCAGAGTATATTAACCAATTTTTCTATAGATTTACTGCAAATTCACCCCGAGGTCATGACATTATGATGTCATGTCAATGTTGTTGTTATTGTTCTAAAGATATTTTGGTGAAACACAAAGAACAGACATAATGGTTTTGTACACAGTAAGATACAGATTTGATAAGCCATGTAAAAGGATTTAAAGTTTTTATAGCAAAACAAACATGGATTATTTAGGTAGTGAATATGTTCTGAAACAAATAATGCTGATCTCGGTCATTGCCTCAATGAATGTACTTATTTTCAGTACATGATCGCATTCACAATGTAAATAGTCCATATTTGGTTAATATGACAAGGTTCAAATTAAAATGCATATTGGTCTCCCTTGTTCATCTGAACAATAAACTGTACAATACCATAATTATCATGCTAGAAAAATTAAATAAGTTTTCCTATTCTATAGAAGAACAATTATTTATTTCATTCAATAAAAGAACAATTATTAGTTATTTGTATTTTTTTTCAACTAATTTCTTCTATGTACACAAGTAATATATAAATATAAACTTATTTCATTCTTACAGTTCCATCATCATTTTCCTTGAAAACTTCAAGTTCTCTTGTAGTATAATCTTTATCTTTGGATTCTTTAATATACTTTACTGTAATTTTTCCTTTATATACTTCATAAGACTTTTCCCCTCCGTCAGCTGGATCTGGCCAGTATCGTACAGCTTTTATCTAATCAAACAAGTTAATGAATAAATCAGGTGGAATAGGTTATAATTTGACAAATATGACACAGTATATATATATGAGATTACATGAGTTTCCATCTTACAATAGTAAACAAGTCTAAAACATTGATAAGATGCAAACCATCTGTGGTAAGTTCTATAACATCTTCTAAAAATGTTTAATCTACATCAACAAATGAAAATTTCTTTATATTACATGACACAATATGAAAATACAAATGAGCCGTATCACAACAAAACCAACATGATCAGGATCCATGCTGTTCGCTTACAATCTCTATAACAAGTAGAGAAACTGATAGCGAACAGCATGGATCCTGATCAGACTGCACGGATGTGCAGGCTGGTCTGGATCCATGCTGGTTGCAAACCCATTATGTTGGTTTTGTCATGACGCGGCTCAAATTCAAAAACAAAATCACTATTTGAATGATCATTTTTAAATAAGGGTAACATAAAAATAATTTGATAGTTGAAACTACATTGTAAATAAGCGAACTGATTTGATAAAATGATGTTTTGTAGATCAAATCAGACATTATAACTACTGACAACTAATAATTCTCAATCGCTCATTAAACATTACTCCAAAGTCATGTATATGCCAAACATAAATTTCTAGCACTCTATTATCCATTTCTTATGATACTCTTTTTCAAAGTCATTAAGCCTGAAGTCTGTTGGTACAAGTTTATATCAATGATAAAACTGACCTTGCCACGTTCCACTTCTTTTGTTGTCATGACAATCACCCTGCATTTTTCTTGCCAGATCATTCTCCACATATCTACCACAGTACTTTGTAAACATCCCTGTGTAGCTATATAACTTTTCTTTGGCTCTATATTATCATCTTCAGCCTAGAAAAAAATAAACCCCAAAAAACAATGCACGAGTTATATACAAATTTATACAAAATTATCCACTTTTTTCATAAGTTTATAAAAATTATACTAAACTTCAAGTTATAAGAAAAGTGAACTACACATATTACTCTGAATATTCTAACTTTATGTATACAAACTCTTCCTAAATAATAAATTCTAACACCCCACAAACAGTTTGGTCATTTAATAAACTGATCTCTCAAGTACCTTAACTTAATTATCTTTTAAGGACTTTATAACATTGTCTGTATCAAGTCAAATATTTCATTTACTACGATACAGTGTGGCGATCTTATATTAACTTACACAGTGGCATGCCACATATTTTACTAACAGTAATCCACTATGGCTAGCCACATATTTCACTTTCTGTGATATATTGTGGCTAGTGTCATAGAAACTTTTCATGATACACAGTGGCATGCCACATATTTCACTAACAGTGATCCACTGTGGCATGCCATATATTTAACTAACAGTAATCCACTGTGGCATGCCAAATATTTTACTAAAAGTAATCCAATGTGGCAAGTCATATATTTCACTTAACGTGATACAGTGTGGCTTGTCTTATATTAACATTACTGTGTTACACAGTGGCATGCCACATATTTAATTAACAGTGATCCACTGTGGCATGCCACATGTTAGTTGGCAAGTCATATATTTCACTTACTGTGATAAAGTATGGCTAGCTATATAATGTGATACACTTTGACAAGCCACATATTTTACTAACAGTGATCTACCGTGGCAAACAACACCATTCACTTACTCTGATACACTGTCGAAAGCCACATATATGACAATTGTGATGTCCCATATTTCACTAACTATGAAACACTGTGGCAAGCCACATATTTTACTAACTGTGATACACTGTGAGTAGCCACTTATTGTTAAACACAGTGGTTAGTCACATATTTTACTAACTGTTATATACTGTGGCAAGCCTCATATTTTACTAACTGTGATACACTGTGGCAAGCCTCATATTTTACTAACTGTGATACACTGTGGCAAGCCACATATTTTACTAACTGTTATACACTGTGGCAAGCCTCATATTTTACTAACTGTTATACACTGTGGCAAGCCTCAAATTTTACTAACTGTTATACACTGTGGCAAGCCTCATATTTTACTAACTGTTATACACAGTGGCATGTCACATATTTAATTAACAGTGATCCACTGTGGCATGCCACATGTTAGTTGGCAAGTCATATATTTCACTTACTGTGATAAAGTGTGGCTAGCTATATAATGTGATACACTTTGACAAGCCACATATTTTACTAACAGTGATCCACCGTGGCAAACCACACCATTCACTTACTCTGATACACTGTCAAAAGCCACATATATGACAATTGTGATGTCCCATAATTCACTAACTATGAAACACTGTGGCAAGCCACATATTTTACTAACTGTGATACACTGTGAGTAGCCACTTATTGTTAAACACAGTGGTTAGTCACATATTTTACTAACTGTTATATACTGTGGCAAGCCTCATATTTTACTAACTGTTATACACTGTGGCAAGCCTCATATTTTACTAACTGTTATACACTGTGGCAAGCCTCATATTTTACTTACTGTTATACACTGTGGCAAGCCTCATATTTTACTAACTGTTATACACTGTGGCGAGCCTTATATTTTACTAACTGTTATACACTTTGGCAAGCCACATATTTTACTTACTGTGATACAATTAGCATTGATGTAGTCAGATCCTACAACATTTTTGTCCCCATCTGTTAATGTCACACGTGTGTGGTCAACTGAAATGGTATTTATCAAAAATCTATCAGTTAATCATAAGATCCCATCAGAAAGAAAAATATGCAATGCATGAAGACATACATAAGTTTATATGTATACATAAATATACTAACTTAAAAATGTTGAAAAACCTACTAAGTAACAAAAATCTGAAAGTATATAACCAATATATTCAATTTTAAATGCCTTATCTTGTTTATATTCTCTATATAACAATGTATGTATCTCATGAACTTATTTCAGGTCTTCAGTATTAGTTATCTTTTGTTAAAGGATCTAATTTTTCAAAACAATATAGTTCAACTTGTTAAGGCAAAATATCTCAAGACTGTATTTTTTTATCATGATAAAAGTATACTTAAAGGAAAAATTTATAATACTGTTTGTACTTATACATAAATATACATGTATGTAAATAAATATTCCACTAAACATTGACAGAATGATCAAGCCACGGCGATAACTGTTTCAAACTTTTTCACCACATTTATATAGAGTATTTATCTTAGTTCAATTGTTAAGGAAGATTTAAGCCATATTGTCTAAAACACTCTCAAAATGAGCCGCGTCACGACAAAACCAACATAATGGGTTTGCGACCAGCATGGATCCAGACCAGCCTGCTCATCCGCACAGTCTGATCAGGATCCATGCTGTTCGCTATCAGTTTTGCTACTTGTAATAGGGTTGGAAAGCGAACAGCAACGGATGCGCAGGCTGGTCTGGATCCATGGTGGTCACAAACGCACTATGTTGGTTTTGTCGTGACGCGGCTAATATATTTTTGTCTAATACACTCTCAAAATCCATTCCTATAACCAACGTTTTCTGAGTAATGAGTGTGAAGTTTCTTGCTCAAGGAAACAATATGCACCCATGGGTGAACGTTTTCCGGATTATGCCGGATTTCCGGATTTTCCGTCTCTTTCTGGGTCATTTCTGTGAAACGTGTAAATTCGTTGAGAAAATGGGTGGGGTAGGGTGCATGCCTTCTGATATTTTTTTTTTGAGAAAGTAGGTCACGAAGGACAAAAAATTCTGTCCATACAAATATATTAAGACTGCAGATTCTCCTTTTTTTCTGCAAACTCCGCTATCAAGTCAATGCAAGAAAAAACACAGAGGTGTACCGATTTCCTGGTACCTGTAGACTGGTCCCCTGCGCACTTCAAAAATCTTGAATGGAAACCATAATAGGACAGGGAACCAGAGGTTAGGGTACCTGCAATATGACGTTTCCGACACTATTTATAGATAAGGATTTCCCTTCTTTGTTTACTTTGGAAGCTGGGGAATTCTTAGAAAAAAAAATCAGATAAAAAGGTTTGAAAAACAAATGGAGATGGGAATGGCAAGTAGAAAGAGATGTACAGGGTCTGAAATTTGGAGAATGTTTGAGGTTGAGAAAAATAGAAGCTCCTGGAATGGCGTTTTGTGATGTCTGTGGAAAAACTATTAATTATGTGTTCATGCTGATGATGCAAAACACAAGGCAAACCATAGGACTGTAAAATCAAATCAGGTAAGTGAGTTTTATTTAGCTATCTAACTGGAGAAAAGTGCTACTATGAACACGGACAGTTGTCAATATGAGTCATAATAGCAATTCAAACTTTTCTCAGTTCTGTCTTAACTCTAACTCTTTGAAAAATCCATTAATAATATATGTCAATTTAAATTGAAAGAAACCTTTGTAGGGAAAAAATATGCCCATTTTTATAAGGGTGAATTCTTTAATGGTTATTCATTTAAAACCTTATTTTTAATTTTATTTTACTGGTTAATTTGGAATCCATTTACATTAAGATTGATTCATCATTTCCTGTTGTAGCTTAGTACATTTTTAGAACCTGTAGAGCTATATAAAAACAATGTATTTACAGGTTCTGCCGGGGTCTTCTAAAGCCAAACCAGAGACCAAGTCAATGCAAAACAGAGTTCCTAAGCAGAGAGCGATCACTGCAGCATTCATATGTGAACACTGCCTCCCTTTTACTATAACTGAAGATTTAATAAATTTTGCCAAAAGATTGAGTCAGGATAAGAAACAACTTTATCAAAGTCCAGTGCTACCTATATAACAACATATGGAGTGGCTAAAAGCTTTTAGGACAAGCTAAAGCGGAAACTGAGAGGCCAAATGTTATCTCTTGACATTGATAAGGCAACAAACAACAATAACGACAAAATCTTGAATGTCATAGTCCAGTATTATGATGATGAAGAAAAACAATTTGCACTAAGACATATTGGGTCACGTAAACAAAATTTGGCTACAGCAGTCAACATCATCATTCATGGAATTGCTTGAAAGTGTCCTTGAGGAATATGACATAAGTGTTTAACTGTTATGTTTTTGCAATGATTTTTCCAAAGTGTAAATGAGGTTGTGAATATATTTGAGATGCTTCCTAAGGTCCTCTGTTTTGCCATATTCTCTCAGCTTCCGGGGGGCTTCGCCCCCCTGGAACCCCTCACCAGGGCTTTGCCCTGCACCCACTGGGGGACCTAGCGGCCCCCCAGGCCCCCAGCTGATTTTTCAGACTTTTCTAAATTTCAAACTTTCACCCATGTGCACCACATAGTACTTACTTTTCTGCACTTGAAAAATGTTTAACAGTAGTAATCATTTCTGTTACTTAAGAGCCTAGAATGACACTACTTACATGGCAAGATGTTTTTGTATCTATTTTTAGCTTTATTTTCCGGCCTCATTCCCTCTTTCCTGCTGTATAAATGCCTTACTTCTTGTTGTTGTAAAACCTATAAACATACCATGTATATAATCAGTAAAAAATGTATTTCATAAATGTTAAAATAAAAAGAATTTGCTGTTTTTCAAATAATTCAATTTTGTTGATTTTTTTACAATCAGCTATAGTAAACACTGACAGATTGTAGATTCTCTTTCAATTCTCAATATTAGGTTATGTATTGTTCCCTTCATATATTTCTCCTTACCAAGTTAAAAACTATCCTTAATCTTTTTTGGATCAAGATCTGATTTTTTTTGTGGATTTTAAGACACACCAACTCTGTACAGCTCATATATAGGGAAAGCTGACTAGCTGATAAAGACTTTATGTGCCCATACAGGCAATATTGTAAACACAAGCAAGTCCCTCAGGAGAACACTATATGCCAGCTTTATAATGATTTGATGCAAAAAAAAAAACAACCTTTAACCAATTAGTACCCAAGGTCCCCATTCAAGGTGTATTTTTACAATTGGCTATTTAAAGAACTTACCTCAAATTCATCCCAGAATCCACCTCTGGCTTGTGCTTTATTATCGTCTTGTTTATTTGTTGTGTCCCTTTGTAATTGTTTCACTCTACTATCAATGCCCGATGCAGCTATACGAGTAGCATTAAATGGCTAAAATATATACAAGACATACAAATAATATATGATATAATAAGTTATATAACATGTAAAAAAATAGCAAAAATATCAATACCAACAGTTAAAGGCAAAATCTATGCACCAATAGGTATTCATAAAGAAGATGTTTTCATTATGATCCTTTGTCAAATCTGTACAATAACATAATTCTAGTAGTTTCTAACAATATTTGCACAATAGAAGAAAGTTTGAAATTTTATTAACAGTTGCCAAACATTATAACCAACTTCTTCACTAAAAATGTGAATGGGTCAAATAAATAGAGAATATTTATTATATACTCACATGTCGTAAATGCACCACAGTTCCAGATGTCTCCACCATTGGATTTTTCTTGTAATGTTCAACAAGGTCTGCGAGAGTTTCCAACTGTTCCCCGCCACCTACATCAAACTTGCCATTCTGAGAGAAAAATAAAGTACAATTTATCTTTGTTGAAAAAGTAACACAAACACTGAAAGAAAATCCTAACCCTTGATTTAAAACAGTACATGGTAAATTTAGCATATCCTGATAGTTTCTACGGATCTACTTTACCTGCATAGGATAAATTGACAAATTGAAGTCAAACTATAAAACAAAAAGATTTTTAAATGCAGATGGAGTGAGCTGTCCTAATATTATTGTACTATAAACCATTTACACTGTATTGTATTGAACCGCCAAAATGTTACTTGGCGATGAACATGTATATGTTTTTGCCAATAAATTATTTGACTTGACTTGTACCTACTTAAAGTCTCTGTAACTAGCTTGTCTCCTACATTTATTTTAATTTGTAAATTTGTAATGAAATAGATGTCAATAAAAAAGTACTATGTAGCCAAGATAGGATTGTATAATCACATGACTCATAGGTTAATCTTGAAACAGGGAAGCATTACACTCCCAGTTTTAACCTTTCACCTGCTGGAATATTTGTAATGTATTTGCCCAGCTTTGAATTTGGAACAGTCCATTCAAAGTTTATGGGATTACAATACCATAATTCAAAAAACTTAGGGTAGTCTTACTGTACTGCTTTCCCACCAATAAAATTCTAACATCAAGCCAATATTGTAATAAATTAGTCATTTCAGGAACATTATTTTTTCACAATTTTTGGTATTAAATAATTTTTAACAGTTTATAACCAGAATTTTGTACACAGCCATAAAGGATGTGTGATTGTAAATAATATAATGCCCAATATTTCAAAAAATTAATGTTCCTGAAATAATCGATTTGCTACTATATTGGCCGATGTTAGAATTTTTTGGCGGGAAAGCATAACAGTAATACTACCTGAACTACCAACAGTATAGAGCCTGGTTATACTACAAGGATGTTCAGGCTGGCCTGGCTCTATACTGGTGGCAAAGGGTAGTCACATTAGGTTCCAGCAGGCTATGGGTTAATTCTTAGACAGTATTCAATTTGAAAGTATCTTTTTAAGGTAGTCTTACTGGAATGCTTTCCCACCAAAGAAATTCTAACATCGGCCAATATCGTAGCAAATCAGTTATTTCCAAAACGTTATTTTTTTTTCAAAATCTTGGGCATTAAAGTATTTACATGCACTTATCTTTTATCGCTACGTACTTAATTAGAAATTATTGAATACCGGATATTGTGAAAAATAACGTTCTGGAAATGACCGATTTTTTATGTTGATATTGGCCAATATTAGAGCTTTTTTGGTGGAAAATCACTACAGTATGACTACCTTAAGCATGTGACATAACTTACATTTCTCCTAATTTTTACATGTGTTACTCTATCTTCGCATTTTACGGAGAGGACAAAATCGCCAGGTTTACTCTGTGACTCTCTGACCAGATAGCTCCCATACTTTCCTCGTTCCATCAACTGTTTTTCTGCTTCTTTCCCAGATATATGACCATGAAACCATCTGTAACATAATCACATATAAATTATAATATGCTACTAGAATATAATTTTAATATACAAATCTTCTATAGAACATTTCTGTTAGTCTTAAAACATGACAGGCCATTACTGTGTGATAATTTAATTATACATGTAGGTTTGGCAGCATTATCCTCAGATAGCTTGGACAAGATGTTTGAGAAGACTTGTTTACACTCAAGATAGAAGAAATACTTGGTTTGATGAGCTGCAAATCCCACATAATTTTAAAGAAAGCACTACAGGTGGCGCGATAGCTCAGTTGATAAAACCACTGACTGTCACTCCTGAGGTTCTGGGTTCGATCCTTGGTAACACCCTCAGGGTTTTCAGAGACACTTTCAGTGCTTCCCACCTACCTAGAGGTAGACTGGTAAGAAACCCAGGTAATCCTTGCATGTATCAGTGCTTAGAATACACTGGGCATGTAAAAAAAAACCCAAGAGGTATTTTCAATTAAGGACTCAGGTTCCCAGATTCACTTTTATCTCATAGCTGTTTCTGCAGTCTGCCAAGGTAAGGACCCTACTGGAAATAAGTGCTTGCACATTTGTAGGTTATCCTTAAGAAATTCATTCATTCATTCATTCATTCATTCATTCATACAACATCATTCGTTCATTCATACAGCATCATTCATTCATTCATTCATACAGCATCATTCATTCATTCATTCATACAGCATAACTACTGTTTGCAGCAGTAATAATCAGCAGGTGTTTTCTTCAGTATCAGTTAGTGAATTTAGTGAACTACATTAGTTTTAAACTTACTGACAGGACAGTAAATCTACATCAATTCATGTATCTATACAGCTTTTAAGAATTATCATATATTTTGCATCTTGTTGAAATCCAAGTAATTTATCTCTTATCAAGTTATGTCACTTAAAGGTCATTCTATACATGGATTTTGTTTATTTTCAAAATTCTTCCTGTTTGAAAGGTCTTGAGAAGAAGTTAAGTTTATCGGATGATGTCATGTAAAACAAATATGAAATCTGTTAATCCTTTACCTGCTGAATTTCTGTAATGGGCATGTCCTGCTTTGAATTTGGAACATTCCATTCAAAGTTTAAGGGTTATCAATATCAAAATACAAAATTTTTTAGCTACCAGCAGTATAGAACCTGGTCAGACAATATAGATGGTCAGGCTGACCTGGCACTTTACTGGTGGCAAAATGCTAGTCACTTTCCATTCCAGCAGGATAAGTGTTTTAACTTATAAAAAAAACATTCTGCTCTCCAATGCTGTAAAATATCATTGTTAATTGGACAGTTTATGTCTCTTCTTCAAATAGTACGTGCAAAATTCAACAAGGAAGTGAGGAAATTAAATCTAGTGCAAACTTATTAGGTTTTTATTTCTTTGGCTAAAACTATTCAAAATTTTAAAGGAGTGGTCGCCTAGTGGTTAAGCTGTCTACTCTCAACCAAGGGATCATGGGTTTGAGCCCTAATCAGGTCATGACCATGTTTCTTCTTTTGACACCAGTACTCAGTTGGTTCCAGAAAGCAGACTCCAAAGTAATTAATATAAGTTGCAAGAACTTGTTTTGCAGTCGAGCTTCAATAAATATGTTAAAACCAAACAATTCAAAATATGTATAAGAAACTTGCCCTACAACTAATTTGAAACTGTTCATTATAAAGATCATTATATTGACTTGAATGTGGATATTGATTTCTTGCATATCAGACTGCTGTTTCCGTAAGTTTACCCATGCCAGAAATTTCATCTGGCATGGGGGGTGCCAGAAAAGTCATGTGCTATGCAATGGCATGCTTAGGACGTAATTTTGCTGTTATAAATGAAGTTGTTATTTCATATGCCTTTGTAAGGAATTACTCAGCACGCCTCTTACCACCAAATTGGCGATTCCCCTTCAGACGGATATTCCAATCTGAACCATAACATATGACAGATATCATAAATCTACTAGAGGCACAAGTTAGGCCTTTATTGTCATAAGAAAATGGTGATAATATTCATATCAATGTCATTTGAAATATACATCTTGAAATAATCTTTACATCTTGAAAAACTTAATAAAGTTATAGAGAGGCATTCATAAACAAGAATGTCGAACGACACATATACCCCCCTTTCTAGCCATTGACTCACATAATTGATAATTTTATTACATAAACTTGGCCAAAAATGGGTACATGGAAGTGTTCAATTATGGTAAAATCAACGGAAAAACCATTTTGACATTCAAGCCCATGTGACATTGACCTTTGACCTAATGACCCCTAAATCAATAGAGGTCATCTACTTCTTATGACCAGTAACTAGGTGAAATATGAACACTTTGTGATGAATACTTTTCAAGATAATCAGCGGAAACCCCTTTTGACATTTAAGGCCCTGTGACCTTGACCTTTGACCTAGTGACCCCAAAATCAATAGGGGTCATCTACTAGTTATGACCAATCACTATGTGAAATATGAAGGACTTTGTGATGAATACTTTTCAAAGATAATCAACGGATACCATTTTGACATTTTAAGGTCCCTGTGACCTTGACCTTTGACCTAGTGACCCCAAAATCAATAGGGGTCATCTACTAGTGATGACCAATCACTATGTGAAATATGAAGACTTTGTGATACATACTTTTCAAGATATATCAGCGGGAAACCATTTTGACATTTAAAGCCCCTGTGACCTTGACCTTTGACCTAGTGACCCCAAAATCAATAGGGGTCATCTAATAGTTATGACCAATCACTGTGTGAAATATGAAGACTTTGTGATACATACTTTTCAAGATAATCGGGGAAAACCATTTTGACATTTAAGGTCCCTGTGACCTTGACCTTTGACCTAGTGACCCCAAAATCAATAGGGGTCATCTACTAGTGATGATTAATCACTATGTGAAATATGAAGACTTTGTGATACATACTTTTCAAGATAATCAGCGGAAACCATTTTGACATTTAAAGCCCCTGTGACCTTGACCTTTGACCTAGTGACCCCAAAATCAATAGGGGTCATCTACTAGTTATGACCAATCACTATGTGAAATATGAAGACTTTGTGATACATACTTTTCAAGATAATCAGCGGAAACCATTTTGACATTTAAGGCCCCAGTGACCTTGACCTTTCACCTAGTGACCCCAAAATCAATAGGGGTCATCTACTTGTGATGACCAATCACTATCTGAAATATGAAGACTTTGTGATAAATACTTTTCAAGATAATCAGCGGAAACCATGTGGTCTACCGACGGACAGACCGACAGACCGACAGACAGACAGACAGACTGACATTAGCAAAACAATATACCCCCTCTTCTTCGAAGGGGGGCATAATTAGAGCACTCACTGACATTATGACATAAGCCTTTAAAATGCATGATGATAACTGTAATATGAAAATGGACAATAAATTCTGAATATAGTTAACACGGGAATGAAGTCATAAACTTGATAAATGCACTGTGTTGTTGTTGACTTTTAAATGCTTATTCACCCCCCCCCCCCCCCCCAACAATAAATCTGCAGGCTTGTTACTTTTACCCATATTATAATGAATTTCTTAAATGGACTTGTCTAGGTTCCATTGTACGAATAGTTCATTATAAATTTTGATGGATAAATAAATTCTATCATTGGGTTAGACAGAGGATAGGGAAATCTCAACTACAGGGTGATTGTTAAGTTTGAAGTTACCTTTCTGTTGTAGGATCTTCTGAATTCACTGGATATTTTAACTCGATTATGTCGCCATTTCTCTCTTTTAGTTGACCCATGTTCTCCATGTAAAATTGCACCAGTTCAGCCAGTGTTGCAAACTTCTCTCCTCCATACAGGTCATAGAAGTCCCCTGTATTCTGTATCTTGATGTGAGTAACTTGTCCATTACGTCTACATAAAATGTATACAAATATTTATAATTAATTATATGTACAGTCAACTCCATTATGACAAACTCACTTATAACAAATTATCGTTAATAGCGAACTTAATCAGAAATCCCCCGCATATTCATTCTTTCTTTTATATTAAATCACATCTCTTAATATGTACTCGCTTAAAACAAATTTTCGGCTATAGAAAACCATTTTTTCAACGGCAAAAAAAAAACCACTTAAATTTTCTTAGTTAAAACAAACTATTATAATTGAAATATCGGAATGCACTCAATTAAAGATCAGTACATAAATACTGCTATCTGATAATTATTCAATCAAGTGATTGCACAGATAAGTTAGGGCTTCAGGGAATACAGATTTTGGTAAAATGTTTTCACATAATACATGTATTGCAATACAATTGCTTTGCTAGTATTAATAAAAATAATTGATATCTTTTGCATTTAACTTTTATAGACAGTGCCTAAATAAATGTGATCATGTAGTTCAACATTTTGTTTGAATTAAATACATAAACACACTCCCAAACCTTATGCAGTATATAAATTGTGAACTTTTGTCCACAATAAATCAAGAACATGTTCATAAAATATTGTTTAATAAAATGCCTTGCATAAAATTACCAATGCCATATAAAATACTGATTACACTGGTGACCAATGACAGATATGGACTTTTCATGACAAATTTGCTAGCGAAAGTTGTTGCTACTTCGTTTTTAGTGAACTTCGGATATAACGAACAATATTTAAATGTCCCATTGAGTTCCTTATAAGCAAAGTCGACTGTATATAAATATAATGATCATTATACCTGGGCACTAGACAAACAATTTTTTTGTTGATATGTTGTTTATATTTATAAAATACTGCATTTAATACCTTTAACGCACAAACTACATGATATAAACTACAGTAAAGCCATCTTTCTCACGATATCAACTACAATATATCCTATTTTACATGAAATCAATTTCAGCAAAACATACTTTTCATGATATCAACTACTATAAATTCTTTAAAAGTTCTACAGTAAATCCTATTTTACATGATATCAATTTCAGCAAAATATACTTTACATGATATCAACTACAGTAAAGCAAAGAATATTTGAATAAAGTTATTATTTTGATCAATAATTTTGCACTGTTTAAACCACAAGGAAACCAAATAACATTACAAGTGACAAACAGTTTCATACCAGTTCAGCAGGTTCAAACAAATTCCTTACTAATAATTAAACTTTTTGCTGCCTACTAGATTGGTAAACTCTTTCCTATTTCTTTCCAAAAAGGTAAAACAAATATTGGAATATAAAATGGTTTATTTGATTCCATGAAAAAAAATATTATTAACTCAACATTATTTATGAAAATTTCCTGGCAAAAACATTATTTTAGAATTAAAATTCTGGCTAACACTTAAATGTTTGGTAATTTCATTTTCGTTTACAGTTTATCACATAATGTACTTTTATCAGATCATAGAAAATCTCACCTGACAGACAGTGTGAAGTCACCTTTATTGCTTGTACTGGGCCTGGCTAGAAAACTTCCATCCACCCCTCGGGTCTGCAGCAGCCTTTCTGCATCTTGACCTGATATGTTGGGATGGAACCACCTGTAAAATATAATGGTATCTTGAAAAACTTGTACAACTGAAAAGCATCTCTTAAAACAAAAGGCAACCTGTTAAAATTAAGCACCTGTTTAACAAAGGCTAACTCTGAAAACAAGAGCATCATACTTTGTAAAATAAGCACTATCTCAGGCTGTGAAAACTGAGCAACTGTAAAAATAATGAATAGAGAACCTGTAAAATAAGGTCAAACTACCTTTGCTAACTGGAACCTGTAAAATAAGGACTATCTTTGCTAACTGGGCACCTGTAAAATAAGGACTACCTTTGAAAACTGAGCATCTGTTAAATAAGGACTACCTTTGAAAACTGACCATCTGTTAAATAAGGACTACCTTTGAAAACTGAGCATCTGTTAAAAGAGGACTACCTCTAAAAACTGAGAACATGGGACCGTTCTCTCACTGCCTGAATTTTAGCGTGAATGGTGCTTCATTAAGTCTAAGATACATACAAACAGAGAATATATAAAAGAAGATTACCTCTGAAAACAGAGAACATGTAAAATAAGGACTTTCTCTGAAAATACAACATCTGTACAATAAAGACTACCTGATCTCTGATCTATTTAAGACCAAAATTTACATCACCATTTTATAATTTTAAACTGAAAAACTGTTAATTCAGACAGAATTATTGATATCTGCCATCAAAAATCTTGTTTAAGCACAAACAAGACTTACAACAGTTACTATTAATCCTTTAATATAAATGTCAAAATGATATCATCAGTATAATGTATGAAGAAGCCAGGCCGGCATGTACATTGTATATAATATCCATACAGGCGGACCTGTGGCTACATATAACTTGGTTACTTCCAAAATTTTATCATTTTCATTACAAAGCTGTCATGTGATTAATAGAAAGTAAAAATTCCAGATGGACAAATATCTAGTTAAAGCAGCACACCTCCAGATTCATGTTAAGTTTCATGAAAATTTTGGAAATGTATTAAAAAGTAAAATATTGTGAGATGAACAAATATTGCAATCAGCACTTGCAATCCAAGAAAATTACCGAAAGATGGTCAACATATGCAAAAACAGTCCTTACTGCATTAGTAACGGAGTAGAAATATGGTGATAAAATACTACAAAATCAGTCTTTAACCGCTTATAACAATTTTCATATCACTTGGATTTTGAAAGTTTTCACCTTTCTTAAAAGTTAGTGTTTTGGCTCATCTGGATATGAGCAGCTTTAAGTTCATGATTAAAAATATATATACCTATTCAACAACCTAGTTTGAAAAATCTTTTAGTTAAAGATACAGAATATATATTTTTAAAATAATCCAACAGTTTGATGAATCAAACATTGATCAAACATGAATCAAATCTTGACATTGATTAAATATTTACGTAAATGTGTACATGGAAAGACTTTCTTGGCTCACAGGTCTTTGTCATTGACAGTCAAAAGAATTCTATACACCTGCAAGATTTTTGTTTTATCTTAAACCAGTATTATGTATTATAACAAATGGGCCATTCCTGTTGGCCTGAAAATAAGGCCAGCCTGAAAATTAAGCCAGGTTTGAAAATTAAGCCAGTCTGAAAATTAAGCCAGTTTGAAAATTAAGCCAGTCTGAAAATTAAGCCAACCTGAAAATTAAGCCAGTTTGAAAATTAAGCCAGTCTGAAAATTAAGCCAGTCTGAAAATTAAGCCAGTTTGAAAATTACTAAGCCAGTCTGAAAATTAAGCCAGTCTGAAAATCACCGCAGTACTGTAGCCTGGCATAATGTATTATAGAAGGAAACCACTTCCATTTTGATAAGACTTGAAAACTGTTAAAATAGGAATTATTCCCCCAATTAATATAGAAAGATTCCATGTCAAAGCCTAAATTTACATAAATATAGAAGGGTAAAAGTCAATGAATAACAATGTAGTGTCATTATAAAATACATGTACAGGGAAAACAGGAAAATCTTAAACATACAGTCATGTAAACAAGAGAGGATACTTGACACTTAGAAAATGACTTCAACTCATTTCATTAAATCAATTTACAGTGCATCCTTTTCTTACACTATATTGAGATGGAGTTGCTGGGGGGGGGGGGGGGGGGGCTTGCGTCACTGAGGTCTCAAGGTTTTTTAATTGGTAATTTCTAGACCTTTATAATAGGAAATGTTTGTGTACATTCAAAATATCTTATTTTAATAAATATTTTTAATATCATAATCTCTGTGAAAAGATAAAATCAAAATATAGTTCACTAGGTCAATCTTGTATTAATACTTCCTGATTGAATTAATGATCAAAATATGTTTATATATTTATCTTTATAGATAACATATAAATGTCTTATCATTTATGTATTGTAAAAATCAATACTATTATTTTAGAATTGTACATAAGTTTGTCTTGTGTATTGATGAGATTAAATTTACAGTAACAGTCAAATCAGATGACTTCATAACTCTGTAAATACAGAAACAGCTTAAAGGTTTGTGTTCTTTTTACTTTAAAGGAACCCCACTGAGGGCAAACAACCTAAAATCATAAAATTTGAATGTCTTACATAGATCGACTGAAGCAAATAAAACAGAAAGATATGCAAACGAAATATACTCAGAAATATATTGAAAAGTGTATTTTGTGCTATTCTTAACCCGATCTGAGTGAAAAGAGTTGCAATGCTTTTCAATAATGGGTAATTATTCACAGTAAGAATAATTATTCTGGAAAAACTGAGTGAGCAAATGACCTGAACTTACCGTAACTATGTACACATGTTATTGGTCTAGACTAACATCAAGAAGAACATTCATTTTGAAAAATTATTCCCAACATGTCAAAAAACCTAAGTGGAGTCCCTTTAAAGGTGTGAAGCTATATAACTCGCTAAAAACACCTTTACTGTACAATCAATGCATTTCTCACAAGACATTTTTTATCAAAAAAAATATATTTGTTATTTAAACATAATGAATCATATTAAGGAAAAGAATCAAACCTCCCCTAACAAAACATTTATAAATGATAAACATTAAATCCCAAAAATATTAACAACAGAAACTAGTTTTATTTTGCTATGATTTTTATCAGGATACAAAACACACAGGGTTTCCCCAGGTGCTTTTGGCGCGGTGCTTCCGCTGTGCCTTAATCTCCAAATCAATCTCTCCGCTGTGCCATTAAATTCATCGTAGCGCTTGATTTTTCCAAACCCTATCATTTAGTGGTTTACAATTTTATATGGCGCTTGCAGAATCGAACTCGCTGATTAATCAGTAAACACAGTGGTTGTCAATCAGCACGTGTAATAAAGTGTTAACAGGTTGTTTATAGGAAGCAATTAATAATCAGTGTGAAAGTCATCGGTACTGGCAATTTTGTTACCATCAATCCTCATGTTTGAATAAAATTTCAAGAAGCTAAAAATATCCATGCCCTGTTTGATGATAAGTTCCCGGTGACACAAAGAAATTTATTAAAGACCTTTTTTAAAAAAATTACAATTTTTGCCTCTTGAAATATCCGCTGAATAACAATCTTAAAATGATCAAAAAATATTTAATCTGATATAATCAAAACCAACAACAACAAGAATAGTGAACGTTTTTGCTGAAATGGACAAATTTTCATTTGTCACATATTTTCGAAATGCCGCTTTTTATAATTAAAAAAAATTAACCAAAATGAATGTGTGTAATTACAGTCTTAAAATATAGTTTATGAATTAAAATTACTAAAGGTATTGTTAACATTAGTTGAAATGGAGATATTTGCCAGTATCTTATATAAGTTTATGGGAGGGGGCAGGGATTGTGGAGTGAATCAGGAAGAAAACGGCATAATGGTCTTATGATGTAGGGCATTAGACTTTATATTTCAGATCTTTTCAATCACTTTTTTGGGATACAGTGTTTCCCATTTGTGACATATTACCATTTTCCTAAATAAGCTTTAATTTTCTCTGTTCAAACTCTTGACTCCCTCACCCCTTGTTCTATTTATTCATTATATATATCAACTGCAATCATATATATAAATACAGCAAAAATGGCGTAGCATATTCAACATGATTTGGGAATCTTTCATTTTGAAAATCCTAGTGAGATCCCTGTTTATTTCAATCGGTCAACATCTTGTTTTGTTTCTACATTGATGTTCACATAATTTAAAGAAAGACTTTCAGTTTTAAACAGTGAAGAGTGACTGTGAAGATAAACAGCTAATGTATACATTGTTTATAAAAGGATTTTTGTTTGTGTGTTGTTTTCTTATTTTATCACACTTTATCATAAACTAATCAAAAGAAGCTCTAACACTTACTTCAAATAGTCTTAATCATTATCATTAGAAAAGCAGAGGTAAAAAATTGACCATGCAATGGAGTGCAAGCAACAAAATTGGAGTGCAAGCAACATAACAAGTTTGAAACTTTTTATGCAAGTGGTCCTAACAAAGATGATATTCTAAACACATAGACAAATATGTGTATTCCTAAATGCTTGTTCTGAACATTGGTATGGGAGAACTTAAAATGCCCTTGTAAACATTGTGAACTTACATACATAAAGATCATCTCACGTGCTGTCTATATGAATAGACTCATGCGATGTGATAATAAAAGATACGATAGAATTTCAAATAGACAACTTTATTTACAAAGCATCTTCACATTTGAAAAGAAAACTACATAGAAAAAAATCATGTCTTTTTAAAAACATTATCACAAAAATCATTAACAGAGGGAAGTTAAATGCTGATAAAAGCTCAGTATAATATAGCATCTATATATTTCAACACTATAGCCATCAAAATTGTATTTTTTGTGCATTTTGTTTACTTTTTGATAAAAAATAGAACTTTTGACATTTTAAGACAAGGAAGAAAATATAAGTTGAGGGTCATGTTTGTCCATGCTCAAATAATTATAAGAAACATGCCACATGTTCCAATGAGATTTAGAACAGAATAAATCATACTTTTTAGTCAATAACTTGTTTATAAAGGAACAAAAAGT